ATGTTTGCTTTTTATTTTTTACATATTTTCCTGAATCAGCGCAAGTTTACCGATATAAGTTAAAAAAAAACCGTTTAAAGATGCTGGGTGGCAGCCTCCCGATCTGGCAGTCAATAAAAAAGTTTTGACCTCTAGCCAGTATTTGACAGTAGGAATAAACTTGAGAAACTTCTTATGGCTTGAATGGATATAAATTGTTTGATATTAGTGAGGATTACCTTTTGAAAGCTCTTTAGATAAATTTGAACATTGATATTTTAGATTAAACCCCATACACTATGAAAGCTTACATTTCATTTCATTTGTTTACAGGGCTTCGAGAACCCATGGAACGATGGGAGTTTTGTATTCAGTCAACTGGCAAAATTTTCAAATTTGGCTTGGGGTCTTCTTTTGAGCGCAGTCAAAGCGGGATATCGATCACCGTCAAAAGAACTCACGTGTAGAAAGTTATAAGAAAAATGCATATATTATCATTTCTGTTGTTTGGGAGTAAAATTAATTTTGTGACCTGCCTTCCCTCTCTTTTTTTTTTTCCATCATTGTCTTCCCAGAGGTGTACCAATACTATAGATCAGATGCCCCCTCCAAACTGAAAAATATCTCCACCCCTCCTTCAGAGTGCAGGCACTGTATTTTCCAACCTCCCAGGACTTGAGTCTAGCTAACTGGTTTCCCTGAATCCCTTCATAAATGTTACCTTCCTCACACTCCAACAACTCAAGTCCCAAAAACCTTTTAAACCTCCACCCCTATCAAACCCTGTTCACACACAACTGCTGGATATCCAAGCCCCATGCACACAAATCCTTTACCCCTCCCTCCACCCTTTTCCTGATTTGTCATCTCAACTTTAAAGACGGAAAATGTTAGTGATAAATGTAGTAGTGTGTTTATTGTAATCAGAATTTTTGCATTTCTTTTGACACATAAAATACTAATGTTATGAAAAGTCAAATTTTATTTTTGGGTTGGTATTCTTAATGTTGATATTTTTATTTTACTCTGGTAGAAAGGCACATTCATATATCCAGACAGCATAATTTTTATTGGGTTTATAATACTGAATGTAAAGGAAATCATTAGTTTGTGTATAAAATGTATTTCAGCCATATTTTACTCAAATTCATTTTTTTTTTTTAGATGTTATAATCCTTTCAGTTCACTGAGACTTTAAAAAAAACTCAGGATTTAATGAATTTCAGTAATATAGAACAAAATCTGCCTAGTTAATTCATTTTTTAAATAGTGTTGGTTACAGAATTGGGGTTTCTGTTATTACGATCACGTCAACTCCGTCTCATTACTATCCACCACAATTGCCAGTTTTGGCCACCTGCTGTCTTGTATTAATTCGTTTTAAAATTTAGGGTTCGCTGAAATATATATCTTTTACAGTTGGTTAATAAATATACTTATACATTTTTTTGCGTGCAGGGGATAATGATTGTGAAAAATATTTACCATTATTTTTTCCAGCTTCATGAAATTATTTAACCAGATCAGGTACACTTTGGGATCAAAACTGGCCAGCAGTCGCTGGTATCCTCTTGAAATAAAAGCACAGCTCACTGCTAAGGTAAATTTATTACATACATTGTTATAGGTATCTAAGGTAAAATTATTTTTTTTCTACACAAATAACATTCTGCCAATATTTTGTAGGCCAAGATATTTTGCTGGAAAAATTTCAATACTTTATACAGGTATCTCATGTTATAATTTTCTGTCTTATGGTAGTCCCCATTTTTTTCAATATTTTCATATTTATTTTAACCACATTGGCCATCTAGGGCAACCCTATTATGGAAACCTTCACCCTTATTCATTCATTAGCTGTCTTGAAGTGCACAGACATGACCCTCCAAATTACAACATCCCCACTCCTTCAAAGTGCATGCACTGTATGTCCCACCTCCAAGACTAAAGTTCAGGTGACAGGTTTCTGTGAATCCCTTCATAAATGTAACCTTGCTTACACTCCAACAGCACATCAGATCCCTATAACCACCTGTCTGTACTCAGCCCAGTTTAACACCTTTACACATGCCTACTGGATGCTTGAACCCCTACCACTTAATCCTTTCAGGGTCGCCAGGCCCTCTCCCAAACTTGTTCTCAGGGTCGCCCAAATTTCAAAAAAAAAAAAAAAAAAATTATTTTTTCTTATGAAAATATAGAGAATCTTTTTCCGATCATAATGACACCAGAAGTATGAAATTCGATGGAAAACTTACGGAATTATGCTCTCGCGAAGTTAGCATTGGTGATTTTGCCCACTTTGAACCCTATTTTTGGCCAATTTCAGTGTACTAGTCGACAAAAATCATAACTATTTCACTAGAACTACATTTTTTCTATCGAATGAGTACAAGAAACTGCCCATTTACCGATTTCAACTATCCAATACAGTGGTCAGAATTTAGCAATTTTGCCAATTTCACACAAATTTCAAAAGATGCCCAATTTCCAAATAGGGTTCAGAATAAACAAGAAAGACATTCCTGGCACTAAAATAACATTTCCTCTGTTCATTAGTCATGTCCCCACACCCCTCTTACATTCTTTTTTGCTTTCCACTTTGAATTTTTATTCCACAAAAAATAGAAGATTTACTGTTATGCAGACTACTGCATTAGTGTAGAAATGGTATAAATAATATCAGCGCACTTGTGAAAGAATATTAGACTCAGCAGTTGACGTGTATTGGATACTTAGCATGATTTGTTTACTTTTGAACTTTGGCAAAAATTGAAGATTTCTGCTACTTTGAGCTCAATTTCAAGGTACATACTTTTCATTGTAAAACCAATCAAAATCGTCTCAATTTCTGTAACATGTCTTCCATTCTATAAAATGAGACCAAGAAAACTAGAATACCATCATAAATACCATACAAAAATACAGTGCAAAGTCGCTTTTTTTAAACCAAAAACACTCAGTTTTTTTTTCTCATTACGCACTGTGGGCTGCAGGATTTTTTTTTATTTCTGCGCACACTGACCACATAGACCCAGTCTTTCATATGTAGGCCTACCAGCTTTCTCTTAATAGATTTGAGGGTGCTAGAATTTAGGCATACTAGTATGTCAAAAACCCTGGTGCGTAAGCCGTACTAGTACGTCAGAAACCTTCTTCAGTTTTATGGAAACTAAAATCTTGGTATGTTGGATGCATATTCATATGATATTAAATAAGTGCTAATATATTGTGTTGTAAAAAGTTTAATGTCCTTTAATTATACTAATATGCATTAGTAACTTGTGTAAAGTACATAGTTTAGTTAGTTACTTATACATGTATACTGTATACAATAATAAATTTTGTTTTTAAAAGTCATTGGGTATTATAACTTTTAACTGTATCAAAAGCAGAGCACTATTGTTACATTGCTCACAATTCTTCAGATCACTAGCCTCTGCCTCTACCTCTCCCCCCACATCTCAGTTCCAGTGAAAGTGAGTAGTTTGGTGATACTGACAAGCTGTGGAATGTGGTAAAGATGAAATATACAAAGATCAGAGACCAAGGAGAGTTAGGAGTATGCAAGAGGCAGAGTTAGCCAGGGTACTGGGGAGCACTAAAGGGAAAGTTAGTGTAATAGGGCAGTTGCTGAAAGCTAAAGAGGGAGCCTGCATCAAGATGGGGCTGTCTGCAAGAAGATCGGAAAGTGGATGTACATTTTGTGTGCTCGCTGATAGACAGGACAGTCTAGAGATGGTGAACTGACAAGGGAACTTGACATTCCTCACAAAGTGGTGGTGAGTATTTCTCCATGAGATATTTGAGTAAAATGTGTGTTGTTATTATTATAATCAAAGGAAGCACTAAACCTAAAAGGGGGTGTGTGTTATGTAGGTGGGAGATGGTCTCACAAACATGACAGCAGTGATAAGATGACCAGAAACCTAAACAGGGTTTTGACAGAATGCAGTTTATTATGGGCCAACTCAGACCACCGGTGTTGCCAGTGGTTGTGAAGTTGTCTAGAGATTACTGCAGAATAATCTATGAAATAAGGTCATCAATGGCTGATCACACAGCAAAGTCTGCCTGCTAATGCATACATTTGAAAAAAAAAAAATGCTGTCTGTTTAAATGTTTTTCTAATCATTGAATCTTAAATTTTGTTTATTTTTTTTTTTCAGCTAAATAACATGTCCCTGGCTGTTGGTTATCCAGAACGTCTCTTGAACCCAACTGTGATTAATTTTTATTATGAAGACTATACAATATTCATCAAAGACTTCTTCCAGAATCTTCAGGTAAATATTCCTTAGAAAGCAAAGCTATCCCTGTATGATGTGCAACTTTTTAAAAATTACAAACGGTATTAATGCAGTATATTAAGATGACAGTGATAGAGTGAATGATTGTGAAAGCATTTCTTCTTTTTGGGGCCACCCTACCACAGTGGGAAATGTCCAGTGTGTTTAAAAAAAAAAAAATGATGACCATCTGGATATTACTTAATTATATGCTTTGATATAACTTGTCTGCTTAAGTTATTTTTTATTGTAAGAAAAATTGCACTAATGGCATCTGTCACATTGGATGAGATAATGGCTGCTACATGATCATAGTTTTGGTTGTAGAATCTATGTATTCTACAATTCCTCCTCTTCTACTAAAATAGAATTCATCTCTGTCAACATTAAGGAATAAATCTGTCACAATAAATATTTACAAAGATATCAGCCACACTCCCATTATTTCCATCGAAATAGAATGGTGCATGTCATGGCCCAGACTAGAAATGTGCTGCAATTTGTAACAGTCACATGTTATGCACACACCCATTATATACTACTGTGTAATATATAGTACAGGGTGTCCACAAAACACTCCCTTATTTCAAACAGGTGTAACATGTAACTTTATTGTAATAATCTTTCACAGTTAGTAAACTTCAGATGCAGGATTTCATTGTTTTATGTGGTATAGGGTACCATTAAAGGCACTCAGTGTCTGCCCCTCTTATTGCTCGGCAAACTCTGATGCGATAGTCCAGTTTGATCCAGATGCTCGGCAGCATATCTGGAGTTATCATGTGAACTGCTTCAGTGATCGAAATTTCAGCTCCTCTAGGGTTGCAGGTAGTGGTGGTACGTAAACTGTGCTCTTCATGTGTCCCCAAAGAAAGAAGTCACAAACAGGTCTGGTGACCTTGCAGGCCACTTGCAGAGATCACTGGACCTAACTGTTTGTGACTTCTTTCTTTGGGGGTATGCGAAGAGCACAGTTTACATACCACCACTACCTGCAACCCTGGAGGAGCTGAAAATTTTGATCACTGAATCAGTTCGCATGATAACTCCAGATACGCTGCCGAACATCTGGACCGAACTGGACTATCACATCGATGTTTGCCAAGCAACCCAGAGGGGTGCACATTGAGTGCATTTAATGCTACCCTATACCACATGAAACTGAATGAAATCCTGCATCTGAAGCTACTAACTGTGAAAGATTATTACAATAAAGTTACATGTCATACCTGTTCGAAATCAGGGAGTGTTTTTGTAGACATCCTGTACTTCAGCTACACTGAACACTTTCATGTGTAGACACCTTCAGACATTTCCAGCAAAATGCAGTGCTAATGTTTTTTGCCAGATGGAAAAAGTGTTTAAGCAGAGTTTCTTACTTGGCATCACAGTATAGTAGTACCCTCCTAGGTCCCAACCCTTACAGTTAACAAAGTATTATTTCTAACAGTTTATTAAGAGGCAAGAATGCACACTATTTAGGAAACTTGGTACTTGAGGGCTGTATGTTTGACAAAGAAGTATGTTGAAGTTACCAATAAATAAATGTATCTATATACTGACTTTAGTGAAATAAATGGATATTTTATTCTTTATAAGCACTGTAGTTTAAAATATTAAAATTGTAAATTGTACTGTATTGGAGGGAATTTGTATACTATAGTGTAATGTACAGGGAGAGTACAGTACAGTACCTGCTTTAAGCGAACAGACCTCTTCCAGGATTCCATCCGAAGTGCTGGACGACAAATGGAAATGAAGCTCATAGATCCACTGCCAGAATCTGATTGGATGGATGCCTTATCAGAAGATTCAGTCACATATGTGCACGAAGCAAACAAGATAGTTATTCCGCCACACTTGCTCAACCCTCCACTCTTTCACCGCAATTATCCATTGTAAGTTTATGCTCCAAGTTTAGCTATTTCAAGAATTTTGTTTACTAAAATCAACTTTTTTATCTCTGCAAGTTCCTATCATGTATGATATGGTTAAGTTGGATTATTATACTGTAATTCCAATAATGATAATTTATCAGTAATGCCATCATTTCTACTCTGATTTTGTTTTCATAGATATGGGGCAGAGGCAAAATTTATTAGACGAGCCTGTGATTTATTCGGGTACAGAATATACAGTGGAATTACAGTGTGCCACATTTAACTAAGTTTGGTATCCAAAAGGGTGGGTTGAAGTATCTGTGGAAAGAGTTTTCTGTGGAGGCATGTAAAGGTAATGTACCCAAGTATAGTAGTACCATCTTTTATATGGTTTTGAGGCATGGGTTTTGAATGCTAGCAGGGAAGAGGAGGATAGAGGCAGCACAGATGTTGTGTTTGAGAGCAATGTGCAGAGTATCATGCAGACAATTCAGAATGTAGAAATTAAAAGGCAGTGTGAGGCGACCAAGAGTATAATTCAGAGAGACGAGGAGAGGTTATGAGGGGGTTGGAGCATAAAGAGAAAATGGACAGGGATAAGTTAATGAAGGTATATAAATCTGGGGTGAAAGATAAAAGGGAAAGGGGTTGTCCCAGGAATGGTTGGAGGGAGGGGAGGGTGTACAGAGGCTTCAAGTTTTAGGGGCTTGAGCATCCAGCAGGCTTGTGCAAGTACAGTAGACCCTCGGCTAATGATATTAATCTGTTCCTGAGAGCTCATCATTAAACGAAATTATAGTTAGCTGAATTAATTTTCCCCATAAGAAGAAATCAAATTAATCTGTTCCTGACACCCCAAAGTATGAAAAAAAAAATTTTACCACATGAAATATACATTTTCCTACACACAAAAAGAAGACGACATGCACAATTACTACTGTACTAAATAAAGAATACATGACACTTACCTTTATTGAAGATCCTTTAATGATTGATGGGATGGAGGAGGGGAGATGGTGGAAGTTGTTATTGTTTGGAAGGGGAATCCCCTTCCATGAAGACTTGAGGTAGCAAGTCCTTTTCTGGTTTACTTCCCTTCTTCTAATGCCACTAGACCAGCTTGAGAGTCACTGAACCTCTGTCGCACAACAAATATGTCCATAGAGGTCTGTACCTCGCGTTCCGTTTAAGATTTGCCTAAAATGGGCCACAACATTGTCATTGTAAGTCACCATCACGGCTTGCAATAGCTGTGTTAGGGTGATTTTCATCCATAAAGGTTTGGACTTCATCCCACTTTGCACAAATTTCCTTAATCTTTGAAGTAGGCAACTTCTTCAGTTTTTCTCCCCTCCTCTAAAGCAGTTTCCTCAGGTCTGGCCTCTTGCTGTTGCAGATGCTCTTGCAGCTCATCAGTGGTTAGTTCTTCATCGTCCTCCTCCACCAACTCTTCCACATCCTCCCCACTAAACCTCCAACCCCAAGGACTTCCCCAATGCCACAATTGATTCCACATCTGGCATAGGCTTCTCAGGGTTAGCCCCAGACCCTTCAAAATCCCTCTCTTTTACACATTCTGGCCACAGTTTCCTCCAAGCAGAGTTCAAGGTCCTCTTAATCACTCTCTCCCAAGCCTTACCTATAAGGTTTACACAACTGAGGATATTAAAGTGATCTTTCCAAAACTCTTAGGGTCAGTCGAGTGTCTGAGGTCACTTCAAAGCACTTTTGAAACATAGCTTTTGTGTAGAGTTTTTTGAAGTTTGAAATGACCGCTAGTCCATGGGCTGCAGGAGAGGAGTGGTATTAGGAGGCAAAAATTTGACTTGATGAAGCTCAATGTCCCCAGAAATTCGCTCTGCTAAGTCTGAAGGATGACCAGGAGCATTGTCTAATACCAGGATGCACTTAAGGTCCAATTTATTACCAGGATGCACTTAAGGTCCAATTTATTTTCCAGGAGGTAAATTTTTCACAGTGGGGGCAAACACATGGTGAAACCAGTCATAGAAAAAGTCCCTAGTGACCCATGCCTTACTGTTTGCCCTGTGGAAATAAATGGTATAAAATACTGACACAATGGAAATATAAACACATATGCAGTATAATGTGATCCTTTATTGACTACGTTTCGCCCACACAGTGGGCTTTTTCAAGTCACAAACAGATCTACCTGGGGTGGAAGGGACCGAGTATTTATAGTCAGGTTCAGAATGCATTCTGAACCTGACTATAAATACTCGCGTCCCTTCCACCCCAGGTAGATCTGTTTGTGACTTGAAAAAGCCCACTGTGTGGGCGAAACGTAGTCAATAAAGGATCACATTATACTGCATACATGTATGTGTTTATATTTCCACTGTTTGCCCTACACATCACACATAAATTAGCCTTGACGACATTGTTTTTCCTGAATACTTTGGGAGTTTCAGAGTGATACACCAATAAAGGCTTCAACTTTGCAATCACCACTAGCATTACCACACAACAAAAGAGTAAGCCTGTCTTTCATTGGCTTATGTCCTGGGAGTGCCTTTCCCTCCTGAGTAATGTAGGTCCTGTTTTGGCATTTTCTTCCAAAACAGGCCTGTTTCGTTACAATTAAACACTTGTTCAGGTTTCAGTCCTTCAGCCATTATGTACTCCTTGAATTCCTGCACATATTTTTCAGCCGCTTTTTGGTCCGAACTGCAGCCTCACCATGCCTTATCACACTATGTATGCCACTATGATTCTTACATCTCTTAAAACCAACCTTTGCTGGCCTTAAATTCACTCACATCACCACTAGTTGCAGGCATTTTTTTAATTAAATCGTCATGCAACTTCCTAGCCTTTTTACATATGATCGCTCGAGAGATGCTATCTCCTGATATCTGTTTTTCGTTTATCCATACCAATAACAGTCTCTCAACGTCTTTGAGTATTTGCGATCTCTGTTTCAAAAACATACTTGCACCTTTTGCAAGAACAGCTTCCTTGATTGCGGTTTTGTTGCCCAAGATAGTAGCGATGGTTGATTGGGTTTGGTATACAACCTGGCCAGCTCTGAGACACGCACTCCACTTTCGTACTTTGCAATTATCTCTTTCTTCATTTCCATACTAATTCTCGCCCTTTTTACCACAGGGTTGGCACTAGAAGCTTCTTGGGACCCATGGTGACTTATTTTGCAGTTACAAAGCGCTAAAAACACTGTGATATATAAATGTACCGAATGTATGAGTAGATGCGACCGCACTGGCTGGCTTGTAAACACTGGCACACATGGGGCCACATGTGGACGCGTACTGGACGAATTACGTTGGGCGAGTTTTTTTATCATTAGCCAGGCCAATATTTTTACGCTCAAACGCTTCGTTGGGCGGATTTAACGTTATGCGATGTGTTCGTTAGCTGAGGGTCCACTGTATTAGTGAATGGTGGTAACTAGTTTTTAAGAGACGTACTGTTGGAGTGTGAGCAGGGTAACTTTATGGAGGGACTCAGAGAAACCGGTTAGCTGGACCTGAGTCCTGGAGACAGAAAGAGCAGTGCTTGCACTCTGAAAGACTGGTGGGGAAGTTTGGTGAGAGAGGTAATTTGAATATAATGTCAGCACATTTCTGGAAAGAAGGTAATCGAGTGAATGTTAATGAAGTGTTTTCCTTGGGTCACCCTGCCTTGGTGGAAGATAGCCAGTGAGTTAAAGAAATGTTTCAAATTAAAATTAATATTAAAACTAATAAAAAATGACATTCAAAACATATTAATTATAACCTCAGTAAATGCAAAAGTTGTATAAAAACTCTCACTCCTTGTGTGTAACATTGCAACATTGGATGACAAAAAATAATGTGTTAAGCCTTTGGTTTGCAAAGCTAATTTATAATTAATCATTTAAGTTATTTTAGAGGCAGTGATATTAGCATTTCTTAAAATGAATTGTCCCTTGTGTTATTTTGTCTTTCTTTAGTTTGATTCACACTCTGTAATTTAGTTTACTACCAAAAATTTTCATTACTCTTATCTTTTAGGACCATGCTATATGGAAGCCTGGGTGTGCAAATTGCTCGTGAAATGCTGCGAGCTGTTGATGCCGTTGGTCTTGCATGAACAGCAAAGGACAATTTGCTGAACGAACAGTAATACAAACAGGTTAGGCTACCATAAATTTAGCATTCTAAGATACTTTTGTTTTTTACAGTGGTATGTTAGTAATACATGTACTCCAGTATTACTATTATTATTATAATTATATTTAGGGGAATTACTAAACCCATAGGGGTTAATAATATTTTGTTAGGAATTACACTGGCTAGGCTGAATGTGACCTTTTTATTTCCTTTCCCATGGCTCAGTTGGTAATGCACTCTACTCACACAGTGTGTCCAGGGTTTCATCCCTGGTATGGGTGGAAACGTGGGCATGTTTTCTTACACCTACTGCCCCTGTTCACCTAGCAGTAAGTAGGTATCTGGGCGTTAGCCGACTGGTGTGGGTTGCATCCCCCCAAAAAAGGCACTTAAATTCTCAGGAGGTTGATTATACTTCACAACATTGAAGTGCCTTTGTGGTGATTTTGTTGACTTGGTAGTGAATTCAGTTCAAGAATTTCTCAAGGCTAGTTCTTTGGAATACACTTCATTTGAGAAATTAATGCATGAAACATCTTGCTATGAAACTAAATTAAACCAGTATTGTATTAATGGGAATTGAACACAATTTTGTGGTACTACCTACAATATATTCTAGTCCTACATTACTGTTTACCTGGAGTTACCTGGAGAGAGTTCCGGGGGTCAACGCCCCCACGGCCCGGTCTGTGACCAGGCCTCCTTAGGTTCAGTGTCCCAGGATGCGACCCACACCAGTCGACTAACACCCAGTACCCATTTTACTGACGGGGAACATAGACAACAGGTTGAAAAGAAACACGTCCAATGTTTCTACTCTGGCTGGGAATCGAACCCAGGCCCTCGCCGTGTGAAGCGAGAGCGTTAACCACCAGGCCACCAGAGCTCCTACCACTCCTACCACACATTGTAAGCTTTGCAAGGAAATAAACATTTCTCATTATATCATGAAAAGGTCATAAGTATAGATAAAGAATATCTACGAATGAAGTTGTGGAAAGGGAAAGTGATTTCTTGCATTGTCAACATATTCATGCAGTAAGAGTCAGTCAGTAATGTAACATTGATCAGATATATGTACAATATTGTGTTGCATTTCTATTGTTTAAGATTACTAAGGGTAAAGTATCATACTTTTAAATAATGACCCAAGTGGAAATAAGTTGTATATTTTGACTTTGTTGAGTTATCCTAAGTAAGTGTTCGTAATATACATGTATGCTCACATCCCTGTGTTCTCGAAACCACTTTAAAAATTTAAACTTAAATTTGTAAAACCATTTGTAAATTCTGAAAAAAAGTAATAAAATTATGTACTGAGAATTGGATAATTGAGGCATTTTGGATTAGTAGTGAAATACTGGTGAAAAATGTATGTTTCTTGTTAACACTAGAATATGTGCATTATACACCTTTCGTTAAAACCTTTTTAATATAAACAGAATTTTTCAAAGTTTCTAGTCTTGCTAGTGAGAATTATTATTTATTTATTTATTTATTTTATGTCTTTGCAAACAGTACATTGAGATTTTGTATTTACAATAGTGGGTTGCAAGGCAAAGAGAGTCTCTATTATGCCTAGGCATTATGGCCAACTTAACATTATTGGTTTACAGACTACTTAATACTAAGGAGTATATCATAGTTGTACAGTACGATAGTAATTATTTCATAGTTGTACAGTAGAATATTAATTTTAAATGAATCAAAATTTGTATAATACAAAGATATATTTATATTCAAAAATGCTTTTGTGAAAACAATGATTCAATTATATTCCTGTCAACAATGGATGAAAGGTTCAATGTGATTGTTTCAGTTATGATGTGGGAGTACATAGGTGAGTAAGCGTCGTCTTGCCTCATAAGAGATGTAGGAGATTTACTCTGTAATAGTTAAATGTGCAATATAGTTAACATTAACTTTGGTACTCTTGAACAGATCGCTGGACAACCTACGAGGGATGGCAGACTGCATAGCTTCTGCACACTATGGATCTCGCTATAGAAACAGATGCTGTTGTAGATAGAACGCAGCTGATACAGCTTCAGAGGTTGAGCCATACGACAGACGTACCAGGTAGGCTTTGCTGCATTTTAGCATGCATTATTCAAGAAAATTGCTTTTTTTTTCTATAAAACACACACACACACACACACACACACACACACACACACACACACACACACACACACACACACACACACCACACACACCACACAACGCGCGCAAAAGGTGCTTGAATTATCAGCTTAAAAAGTACATTCAAAGTAAGTCCAACTTTATAGTAAATTAACAAGATGCAAAACAGATGAGCAAAATATGAATAAGTAAGCAATCTAAGCAATACAAATTTCAGTGTAACATCTCAAAGTTAATATAATATGTATATATAGTCAAATTAACGGTGCAATATAAATAAGCAAGTTTGCTTGGCAAGATTTGGTTTCTGTATTGTGATTGTGCACCATAACTAGATAATTGGTTCCCACAAAATTCTCCGAGGAGCTGTGCCCTCTGGTGAAGGGCTCTTAAACCTAGGAACCTATTCCATTGTTGGATTGAACCCAATTGTCTCTAAGTCCCAGGTTGTGCAACCCCCTATGGGTTTAGCACCTCTCCACTTTTTTTTTTTTTTTTAAAACATGTCGGCTATTTCCCACCGAGGCAGGGTGGACCCAAAAGAAAGAAAAAACTATCATTCAGCATTTTCACCATCACTCATACATAATCACTGTCTTTGCAGAGGCGCCCAGATATGACAGTTTAGATAGTCACTCCAATCTGCTAATATCCCAAACCCCTCCTTTAAAGTGCAGCATTGTACTTACCATTTCAGGATTCAAGTCCAACTAACCGGTTTCCCTGAATCCCTTCACAAAATATTACCCTGCTCACATTCCAACAGCTCATCAGGTCCCAAAAAACATTCGTCTCCATTCACTCCTATCTAACATTGCTCATGCACGCTTGCTGGAAATCCATGAATATGACAGTAATCTAGGTGCATGTTGATATGGAAAATTAAGCTAACTGAATGATTCTTCACTGCTGCAAATCTTTTTTTTTTTTTTTTTTTTCAAAAAACTGGGACGATTGTGAATGAATTGACAATCTTGAGGCTATTCTCTTTGATCCAGGGCTTTTGAGTAGCTATCTTGTAGGCTTGCATAACCCATTAGTTGCTACTATTATACCTTTAAACTGGACTGCATCCAGTAGGTGGTTTTGGAAGAAATAAACCATCATGGGACACAGACACATACTGATAAACCAAAAAGTTATACCAGATGACATCACTCTTTGATTTCTTTTTATATATATTTTTTACAACTTTATTATCTATTAATATGCAGATATTTTAGGCCTACCTCTCTTTGATGAAGCTTCAACCTCAGCCCCAGCATCCAAGCTTCGAGTCTCTCAACACAACCAACATATTTTTCATGGCTTATGCTGGAGTAAGTTATCACATTACAAGTGCATGTTGACAAGCTACTTATTTGAATTTAGTACATTTTTACAGTTTTCAGTTTCATTGTTTGACTTGAAATATAGCTTCATATGTCTCTTCAATACATACCATAGTTTTATATGTATTTAAGTGATTCTCTGCAGAAGATAACTTGGAAACGGTTGTTTCACCCTCTGTAAGTAAGTAAGTAAGTTTATTCAGGTATACACAAATACAGTTACATAGAATTATCATACATAGCAGTATATGTGTAGAGAACCTAGGATAACCTCAAAAAAGTCAGAGTGACTTATTTCCATTGGGGTCCTTTTACCTTATTATTATAATATAAAGGTTATAATATTTTCTTATTATTCTATAATGAAGATAACATCTTATTATCATACTAAAAAGACTATCTACTACACGAGGGTCAATAAGACTATCTACAATACGAGGGTCATTACTAGGAATAAGGTAAAATTTACACGTATGTTAGCTAAAAAATTGAAAATCATTCCCCTCCCTTTCTGTAGCTACATTCATCAGACACCTTTTGGCACTCTTCTTGAACTGGTTCATGCTATGACTGGCTTTGACATGTGTGGGTAGTCTGTTCCATTTCTTTATTGCTGTACAATAAGAGGTGTTTGAAGCCTGGCCAATGACTGTGGGTACTACAAAGTTGTGCTTTCTCCCCCCTAGTACTATGATTGCTTTGGTTCCCAACCTTGACAAAATTGACAGCAAGATATTCTGGACACTGAGCAATTTATAAACATGATTTAGCTTCAGTTGTTTTACTCTGTCTTCAACATTCAGCATATCCAACTGCTGTAATTCATCCTGGCCTACATGTCTCTTGGTCCCAGCCCCAGGATGAATCATACGATTTTGTTCTGGGGATTTTTTTGCAGTCTATTCTTTCAGTTTTTTTGTCAAGGCCCGAGTACCATGAAGAGCAAGCTAATCCATATGGCATTG